TCCTTTTCCTCTCATTCTTTTAATCCAAACAAAAACTAAGTTTTATTGGATTTCCCTTTCATTCATATTGGCATGTTTAGCAGGGGAAGATCATTCTCCAATAACAAGCAAGACAGAAATACTCAAACATTTCTTAATTAATTTATTGGCTAAAAAATTTAAAATTAAATTAATAGATATATGAAACTTGAGTAATTCACACTGCTGCAGTGCTGTCTCCTTTTGCTTCTTTTGTTTCTTTCCTGTTTCCAAATTTAGAATCGTCAAATTCTAATATTCTTTCAGTCAAAAAGCACGAAGACTAATTTACTCAAGAGTCAAAAATTAAAGAACTTCAATTAGATTCAATTCCCACTGTTTTATTGAAATTTCCAAAATTACTCACTCTTCCGAATCCGTGGCACTTGGCGACGATAGCCAACGGAATGGCTGGAAACAGAATGGAGAGCTTAGTCCCTAGAATGACCTCCTGGAGATTAGTCAGCAGCTGCCGGAGCAATCCGCACTGGACTTTCTGAATAAGTGTGAGGTCGGACTTCTTCCTCAACGACGACGACGACATGTTGTGCGCCGTCCTGCCATGGCGCATCTCCTTGCTGGATCCTTTCAAATTTCCGCCATTCTCAAGCAGCGACGGTTCAAGAAGCGAAGCCATTTCGTCACCACAATTACAACCGCCGCAAAACCAAAAGGCTCAATTTTATAAAAAGTAGTAAAAATACTTTTTATAAAAATAAGATTTGATTTTTCAAATGCGTGAGGTGCATTGTGTGATGTGTGAGTTATATATAGAAGATTTCTGGCATCGTGGTATATGAGACTCAGAAGTTTCCAAGAAGTTTCTCATGATTCTTTTTTTTTTTTTTTAAAGAAAGGAAGAAAAATGTTTTGGGACTTAACTTCTGTATTAAGCCCTCTCTCGATCCCTCAATTGAAAACATCAATTTTTTATCCCTAAAATTTATTTGTTTGGCCTTTTTCTAGTCCCTTTTTTAAGTTTTTGCCCATGTGATATGTTAATTAATAGAAAAACTTATTTAGTGGTCTTAGGTCATGTGGACTATTTTGGTAAAATTTTTTACAATACAAGAAATCTTTTGATTCATATTGGTATTCATGTGAAAAATTGAAATCAAATGAGTGAAAAGAACAAATGACATGAGGTTACATGCTTTGGATCGTTAATAATAAAAGTTAATTTGTATTTTTAAAGGATTTAAGGGTTAATTTACAACATTCAAAAGAATTAAAAACTTATTTTTACCATTTTTAGTTTAGTGACTTGCATGTTATAATTTTAGGGAATTAATCCTTATAAAATTTTCACATAGTAATTTTTAGTCTAAGTGGAAATTCCAAGTAATTTTAAAGAAAAAATAATAATTTTTATGGAGTTAACGGTCCACTTTATTAGTACCTAGTTTAGGGAAGGACCAAAAGAGACTGAAAATTATTCTTGACGGATTAAAAAAAAGAAGTTCTTTTCAATTAAGAGAATAAAAATGAAGTTCGTACAAAAGTTAAGAGAAACCAAAAGAGGTTATAACGTTTTTTTGTGTTTTTGTTTGGATTTGCATGGCAGCAGCGACGTGGCATAATCTTCAAATCATGCCATTTTATACAATTTAACCCATCATTTCATTTCTTAAGGATATACTTACTCATCAAATTGGTATTTTTCATTGTCTATTTTCAATAAGAGGCGTTTGGTTTGGAGGAATTTTTTCTTTAAAATTTTTTAAAATTTTT